CAGGGGCACAGATCATGGGGCACCACAGCAAAATTATGATGGGTCCTTTTGGTGACCTCTTTTTTGTGGCATGTGGCAGTATCAACTGGGTCAACATTGTAATTGATCTTAATGTAAAGTATGTCTAAATCATGAACAGGTAGCAGGAGTGCTGTCAGTATAGCCAGAACACTAGTGACTATTGTTGTGGATAGAAGTTTAAGGCACATATACTCTTATGGGAAGATTGTTGTTGAAATTAGGGGTCTGATGACAATGTCTTCCAGGCAGCTGGCAAATTTGCTACCAATGGCAGCTCTCGTATTCATTTTTACTATATAAGTACTTTAAAATAAAAACAAATTTCAGCTGGGATGGAAAGTATTTTACTCAAATGGTAGTGTATTCTAAAAACGAATATGGTTTTTAATATAGTAATTTAGTAGAATATTCAGCCCAAGAGTTTTCCAAACTTTTCATAGTTGTACAGACAATGATCATATCCTGTCTATATGTTCCTTTTTAAGAACTCTGGTCTAACAAAAAAAAATGTGCTTTAACACCAATCAGAGAAATGTTCAGACCTAGCTATAACAAATTTAAAATTGTTGTCTTAATCTCCAAAACTGGAAAGCTGCAAAATGAAAAACTGCTCTCCCATATGTAGGGCCTTAGTCATTTGACTGGGGATGAGTTGTCCTTGCTGTGACCTGTTGAGTCATGCTTTGTTTTCTTGTTTTCCTTTGTTGTTTTTCCTTTCTTTTTCCAAGTTCATGATGTTCCTGTGTCCTGATGCAAACATACATATCCTGTTTATTTATTCAGGTAAGCTGTGGACAGGTATGCACCTCCTGATTGGTCCATATTGCTTTAAAAGGTTTCAGGATCTAATGATGAAAAAATACCGGCGCCTTCAATTGCAAGGTGCCCAGCAATTGATTACAGCAAACACGAGAGAGGCAGCTCCCACAGGTCAGATTGCCACCAATCTAGGAAACAAGGTTTTTCTGATGAAGGGGGCATGCCCCATAAACGCGTAAACCTGCTGTTAACACAGGGATAGAGGACGCTGGTGAATTTCATCACTCCACACTCTCCCTGCTACAGGTTCCGACTTCTCATCTTACTCTACTGGTTTTTATTCAACTGAATTGTTGTAAGTACAGCCTTAGAGCTGCGTGTTTTTACTATTAAACCACTCTTTTACACTATGGACGCGCTTTCTTTTGTTCCTGGTTTCAGGATCTAGTTCAGTCACTTTATTGTAGTGTTCATATTGCTCTTTTAGGGTTTTGTTTCTTTGTGATCCCATACTTGTTTCTTGTTGCAGTGTTTCTCAGTCCAATGGATAGGGATTTTAATCCTGTCATTATTTTGTTCTTGTTTCAGGCATTCCTGGCCCTGTGTTCCCCGTGGCCTACTGGTTATTCCATGCTCTTAGTTTGCTACCTTCCTACTCCTGACCTCCTTCAACCTGCTTTCTGCTGACCTCTGACTTGTTGGATTTCCAGGATCTGCAATGTTTGCATTAACCTTGATAGTACTCTATGTGCTCTGCTTGGTTTCTGACTATGTTGTTATCATACTCTCTGCTTTTGGTGGTCCCCACCACAATGACCATAAGCAACTCTCCTTGACTATTCTGAATGCTAGATTAAACCATGGATTATCTGACAACTCCATGTTTCCTATCTTATCCTCAGTGGGAAAGAGCCCCCTTTTTTAGACCAGGCACTCAAATTCTCAGGAGTACCTAAGCACTAGCATATACACAAAATGCATCTCTGCCAGCTGAAGACAAAGCAAAAGGTAAAATAAAGGCACTCTCTATTTGCAACATCAAACTTGTTATATTACTGCAAACTAGACAGCTGCACTGACAAAAAATGTGTTTAGTTTAGTTTTGATTCGGATATTGTGTTATTTCGTTTTTCGGGATTCGGGTGTGAAAGTCAATTCGGATTCGGAAGAAATTCGTTAGTGGCAGTTCGTTTGAACGTTCGTTTCGTTTTTTTTTTCTTATTCGTTTTGTTCATTCGTTGCAGCAAAGTGACATTTGAGGGAATTTTTTTTCTCCTTCTCTAATGTCACTTTGCAAACGAATAAGAAACGAAAACGAATCGAACGTTCAAAACGAACTACCGCTAACGAATGTAAAAAACGGAAATTCGGATTCGCTTGCATTCATTATATCTGTAATTCGGAATTCGGATACGTCCGAATGTCATGTCTTCTGCCTTGAGGAAGGGACCCGGCGTGGCCCCAAAACGTCGGTTTCTTTGATTTCTATGACGCCTCTGTTGGATTAATGATTAATAGTAGATAGCCACACCTGGGTTCAGGGCCGGATCAACATAGGGGCATTTGGAGCACCATCTCCAGGCCCACCACTGAAAATAGGCCCAGCCGTTAGATTTACATATGCATTGATCAGGGTAGTAACATATGAATGAGCCACAACTCATTCATATGTAAGATGTATGGATTCCTTGTCACACTGCTTACCGGATTTCCCAATTATCAGGGGAGGGTGCTTGTAGTGACCGTTTATGGCACTGCTAATTGCATTAATCATATGTGAAATATCACCAGCACACCAAAAAATCCTTTAAGGATCACCAAGTGTTAATTTATTCAGAACCATGTCAAGAAAAAGAAGCACTTTCGCACCACACAGAATCCCTTCATCAGGTTTAGCATTGACAGAATGCACACATCAAAGTAATATTAAATAGATATACAGATGCAAAGTATAACCCCCTCAGACCATCCCCCTGATGTCATTATGACATTACAAACCCACCAAAACGACTGTAAACAAGTTTCAGATCTTGTGGACATAAAGAAAGTGTTCACATATTGACATCAATATTACTAACGATCAGGCATTGAGTTTATAACATGTATAAAAGCAAAGATCAGGAAATGCAAATCATACTGGAATGGTATTACCTCATGAGTAGAGAGCAGTGACCACCTGTCAGTGCCATGCAGAGATCCAGCTGCCACGTTGTCATGGAGACTGGATGCTGCCATCCAGCCCCATCGGAGCACGTGTGCAGGCAACGCCCCCCCCCCCCCACTGGCATATGCACCATGTGGGGGAAACGGGACCCTGCTGGATAGACAGCCAGTGGCAGGGGAGCACCTGGTATAATTGATTAATCATACACCTGACTCTAATCCTTCAAAATACGTGGCTTTGTGCTAGTGTAAGAATTGATGCTGGTTTGAAATGGTAGTCACACCAAATATAGATTTGATTTAGATTTTTCTTCTGTCCACTCACTTTGCATTTTGTAAATTGATAAAAATAAAACAATAAAAATATATATTTTTGAAAGCATTCCTGTTTTACAGCATTTTTTCACAGCTGCCTAAAACGTGTGCGCCGTAATATATATATATATATTGATTACTAGCTTCCACCTCTATGTTAGAGGATACTTTGGATGGTCCTTGTGAGCCTCCACGATTAGTACTATGTTTAATTACTACTGCTGTTACTTTACTGTTGTCATTTTATATCTTGGCTGGGGCATGGAGACTTATTCCGATATTGCTCCCCATAGGTTTCTTCACCCCCTGGTCTCTGTTACCGTTTGAGTAGGGAGTAGCCAGATGTCGAAGGTAGACCCTTTTTGGTAACTTTTTTCTGTGTCTTTTCTTCTTCTGCTTTACTCCTCTTTTCTTTGTTTTGCACTTGTAAGTCGGAGAGGAGGTTTTCCTTGAGAAGGTTCTCTGTGGAGATCAGTTTTCTCTACTCCTGTTCGCTTTCTATATTTCTGTCTCTTCTTTTGCTTGCTTTTTGCTATTTTCGCCCTCTTGGTTTATTGAGTTTCTTTACTTAGACTCTTTTTTCCTTTTTTCTGGGCATTGGGGAGGTGAGGATCACTCCTATTTTCTCCGTCTATGATCTTGGAAGTACCAATAGTCTCCCTTAATGCAAAAGGCCTGCATTCCCCCGAGAAGAGACTTTTTCAGACGTTTAAATTTCCTATAAACCATCACAGGACTACCCTCACTCCAAAACAAGGGTATTGAGTATTCTTCTATCCATAGCAGTGGGATGGTCCCTAGTGACCCACCACATTGATCCTCAAGGCTGATTTCTTTTTTTTACGTGGTGACTTCAACAGTAGGGGTGTGACATTAGCATTGGTCTATTGCCCTAACTGAGGCTTTTCTTTCTGGATGATTGTTTGGCAACTCTTCAGGAATTCCAGTAAGGAGTATTGATTTTTTGGGGGGACAATAATTTGGTACTAGACCCTCTAATGTACATGCTTTAACACATCATTAGTCTTACTCAGCTCTTAGGAAGGCTAAAAGGGATCTACAGTCATTGCATTTATTAGATGTCTGGCATAAGCAACATCCTTCCACTAAAGACTATTCTTTTTTCTCTAATCCTCATCAATCATACACCCATATTGACTACCTTATGCTTTCCCATGATGCCCTTCCACACGCTATTGCCTCCACTATCGAAGCAATGACGATTTCTGATCATGCACCTATCACTCTTTTGCGAAAATGGGGGCCGGTCTCTCCCAAGGCTTGGCATTGGAAACTTAATGACTCCCTCATTCAGAAGGGCCCTTTTTGTATGGAACTCCAATCTGATCTAGATAACTTTTTTCATCTCAATCAAGGAACCTTGTCCTCTCCTCTGTTAGTTTGGGAAGCACATACGTGTATGATCAGGGGATTGCTTATTAAAAGGGGTTCATATTACCCAACTTATTTTAAAGATCTTTCACCTGGAATCACTGCATAAAATATCCCTTGCTCGCACCCACGCTTGAGAGCTGAGGATATTGTGAGAAGAACTCTCATCTTTACTGCTGCATAAAACCAAAGCCCGATTAGCCAAAGGTCGCCGAATTTTCTATGAGTTTGAGAACAAATCCAGTAAGCTGTTGTTGAAATCTTTACGTGAAGCTTCCCTTAAGACTTTTATATCTTCTGTGACTCGAGAGACGGGGGTAAGCCTGTTAAGTCCTCTGACATTGCGGATTGTTTGCATTTCTACTACGAATCTCTATATAACCTCTCTTATCAATCCTTTTGGAGATGTTCCCTCTCGCCAGGTTACTGAAGACTACCTGATGGAGTCCAGCCTTCCTAAACTTAATCCCGCTGATGTAGCTCATTTGGAGGAACCATTGATGGTTAATAAATACTTGATGACAATTCGCTCTCTTAAACCAGGTAAGGCACCGGGCCCTGATGGGTACATTTGCGACAATTAAAGGCCTATCTCTCTTTTAAATACTGACCTCAAGGTCTTTTCTAAGATCCTAGCCAACAGACTTCCACCTCTGTTGAACACCATAATTCACACCGACCAAGTGGGCTTTATGCCACACAGAAAGGCACAAAAAACAACAAAACAAGGGTTCTCAATATTATCCATCTGGCGCACACTATGAAAATCCTGCTTGCTCTGCTTTCCACAAATGCAGAGAAAGCATTTGATAGTGTAGATGGGACATTTATAGAAGCTGTGGTTTGTCATTTGGGCATAGGCACCAACATGTATAAACGGTTAGCTGCCATTTACTCTACCCCGACGGTGGCGGTGAGAGCTAACAAAGCTCTTTCTTCTTACTTCCATCTATCCAATGGGACAAGGCAGGGTTGCCCTCTCTCACTTTAAAAAAAAATGTGTGCTAACCCCGATGTTAAAGGCCTATGGGTCCAGGGTACCCACCATAAAGTTGCAACATTCGCTGCTGATCTACTGTTCTTTATATTTGACCCAGAAACATTCCTGCTGAACTTGCTAAGAGAATTTAAAATGTTTGGGAATTTGTCAAATTTCAAGATGAATTTTCATAAATCAGAGGCCCTCAATATATCTCTCACCCGTGACAGGATAGCTAGTTTGAAGCTCTCCTTCCCGTTTAGATGGGCAAATGACCAGATAGCATACTTGGGAATACATGTTACACCGCATATTGTTTTATATGCTTAGAGAATAAATTAAGAGGGGATAGAAGGAAAGGGGGAGGAGTATTGTGATAAAATATATATTACATTGTTACATTACTAGTTTCTTCTCCAATAGATATTTATTAAGGTTTACAGTACAAATAGTCACGGACATGTTACAATATCAACTGATGCCTGTTGCAACCAGGTCATACATATACAACATAACACATGGTGCATGAAAAGTATCACAGTAGTGGAGGAACACAATGTCAGTCCTTGGGATGTGGCTATAATGCAGGACCTATCAGCTACAGTGTAGATGCGACCAAGCTACCGTCCAAGGCGAGCCTTGGAGGATACTGCCTGACTGGATTCACATGTTAGCTTTCAAGGACCTCAGATGGTATAGTGTCAGATGGTTGAAATGAGGTTCACCTTTACCTAGAGTAGGAGCAGTCAAATAAATCAGGACCCTTGTATGGCAGAGCAGTGATACTAGCAACAATAAGACACATGGGGAGACACAGGAGAACAATACGAAATATAAGGAACACAGGGAAAGAAGAAAAGAGAAGGAGACGAAGAGGGTTCTGGACCGTATCACTAGGCGGAGGAGGCACTCAATGGTAAGGTTACGACTAGAGCATCACATGTGGCATAGGCGACGGGAGACAGTTGAGTTAAAGAATCGATCCACGGGGAGCAGATAGTTTCGGATTTGTGCATAGTGTTCTCAAGTTGTGCCATGCGTTTTTCTTGTGCCATGATCCAATGAATATGTGTAATCACATGCGAGATATGAAGAGACTTCGTGAGCCAATTTAGTGCAATCTCTCTCTTAGCAGATGAGAGAATGTGGAGGGAGAGCCTAAAGGCCTTATTAGGGAGATTTTCTGGTTTACAATTGAGTAGGGCAAAAGCTGGATCCTTAGTCACCGTCTCGGAGACCACCGATTCCATGAGGGCAAAAACTTCATCCCAGAAGCCCGAGACTATCGGACATCTCCACCAGGTGTGGATAAACGTACCTGAATCAGGGCATCCTCGGAAACAGCTAGGTGAGCATTGGGAGTTGTAAGTGGCCACTCTGGCTGGCACTAAGTACCAACGCATGAGGACCTTGTAGTTATCTCTAACATACTTGCACACCGCGAGCTGGATTTGGTGTTCTGCCACGACTGGTGCCAGGATTCCTCATCCATGACATCTCCTAGATCAATATTCCATTTAGACACATTGGATGGGGGAGGGTCGTCCAGAAGAGACTACATTACTAGTTTCTTACAGTAAACCTGCCTAAAAAACTATTTGGAACCAATTCATTATAAATCATTACAAACATATGTGACAACCACCCCATTTCAAAAAGTTGTATTAACATATAAGACAGGCTTATGTAAATAAAAACAATAATAACTAATGACTTATTCTATCAATAGAATAAAATTTAGACCACTTTTGTTTACTTGACTTATGTACATCATATCCCTTCCTTTCTCTCTAGCTACTCTGTATTTATATTTAATGTATTTTATATTTGAAAATGTTAAATAACGAATAAAAAAAAAAGAAGAGGTTCTACCTTTTTGCTAAATTTTTCAGGTTGCTGCTAATTTAACAACACATATACAAAATCAAGGTTCACTCTTAGAGACCGAGGCTTTACCTAATCGCCATGATGAATGTACCTGTTATCAGCAGCCGGAAAAGCCCTTAAGTGGTGAATACAGCATCACATTGCTATATAAACCCCAAGCTACAGCCAGCTGTATTTCTTAATTAGAAAGTGTCTTTACGGCATCAAGGCTGATGGCACCATGCATGCAAACATGATCTGTCAACTGAGAAGCATGTATGATTGATTTTTAGATATTTCCTTTGGGATAAATTCTCCCAATATATTGATTTGATATGCTTGTCTTTGCAGCAGGTGTTAGAATCTGTCACCTTAGCATTAGATCAGGACAACATTTTTAATTACCATCCTCTGCAGATCATAAGCAGCATGTTTGCAAGAACATAAGCAGTATTAAATTGCCAATGTATGTAAACATTATGGTAACATTGTAACATTCTCATTTACAGCTGAACATTGAACAACTTATGTATCGATTCAAATTGATAAATTATTATGGACATTCAAAAATGTTGGTTCACCATCAAAAACACCCATGAGATGTAAAGACTTAATTTGTCAACATGATTGCATCATATCTTCAATCACTGTCTGAGCAGTAGCGATGTGTAGGGACACAAACTTGAAGACGGCAGGCACATTGAAATGAGAAGACGTGGACTGATTAGAGTTCACCCGTTGCAGAATTGTCTCGGACAGCTCGGCAATCAGATTATTAAGTCTGATACCAGATACTCTCTCTCTTCACTGGGATTAGCATGAAAATTTTGATATGGATCGATAAGCAATCTTTCCTTTATAAAGAATCTCTGCAAGCTTCATTACTCTGTGTGTATGTTTATGTCGACAAATTAAGACATCTTGATTACTGCCAGGTTTCCGCTTTCTTCTGCTGAAAGAAAATCTCATATACATTTATTAAATAAAAGTTCTCCTCAATAACATTGAAAGAAGAGACTTGCATTGTACTTCCTAACTTTAAAATGAAATTTTGCATATGGCACTGATGTAAAGAAAACAGATGCTTTCTCAATAATTTCTGAAACATAGATAAACACTGTTTTCTATTAAACACAGGGCCGGATTTACTCCACCTTCCGCCCCAAGGCCAGGTTCCACAATACGCCCCCCCCCGCGCCGCTAGCCCCCCTCCCCATCAATTGAGAATGGCAACCAGATGGCGGGAAATTATATCACTGAAGATAAACACATTAGCTACAGTAAATTGCCATTTCTCAAGATGCCATTTAAGATGGTATTTTTTTTTTGATTGCAATGCTGAGCGGGCAGTGTGCGCTTGCATAGATGTAGATTTTCGGCAGGTTTTTCCAGCATGCTAGGAAGACGAAAGTCGTGCGACCGTACAGTAGATGCGGTCGCATGCTGCCCATAACCTGCCGATTATCGCGAGATCACCTGCGATTATCGTACGATAATGGGCAGGTGTATTGGCACCTTTAATGTAAACCAGATCGGACAGACCAATCCCTGTACATTTACTTTAATCTTAAATTAAACTATGGGCAAAATAGAAAAAATACATATATAGTGTATTCTATCACTAGAATTAACACAGCATTCTGTGTTTTTTGAGACCCCCTGTAATATAGTTTTATTATCCCAACAATAAGTCAGTTATTTTTCAACTTCCTTTAACAGATCAAGCTGCTCAGAAAAAAAATTATTTAAAAACAAACAATTTAACACTGACATAGGTGCTTACAATGGTCATCTTGTATTCATTTAGTAAAATCTTTCTCCCAAAAGACAACAGTTCCTGTAACTGCTTCAAAAATGTTAGCTGGAGTTTAGATTTAAAGAAGAACTTCGGGCTGAAAATTGTATTAACCCTTGCAGTGGGGCTACCCCTGCACTGCAAGGGTTAACTGCTAATTTTTGTCTAGGTAAAAAAAAAAATATATACTCACCTAAGCCTCAGAGCTGGCAGTGCTTCCTCCAGCCTTTCTCCTCCTCTGCTGCAGCCATGGTATATCCCTCGGCATCCTCACGTCCAACACACTGTATTGGATGTGATGGCTCAAGGACTCCTAGACCACTGCAGCAGAGAGGAGAGACACTCAAGGAACCTGTCTAAGAGCTGGCTGGCTCAGAAACTCAAGTGAGTATAACTTTTTTTTTACACTAGGCAAAAAAGAGTTGTTAACCCTTGCACTGGGAGTTCTTTAATTTGTTATTCACGTATGTCCATCTAACACTGCTTTCTCCACAGCTGCTATCCAACTGTGGCTACACTACACCTCCATAGATACAGTGGAGGAGTAAGTATAGCCATCCTTCAGCTGGCCATACACCTTACAATCATCGCAAGACTCTCGTAATTTAAAAAAGTACGATCTGCCCATCTTTGACAGGCAGATTGTACTTGCAATCATCGCAAGCTCACCCCCACTGAGGGGCGGACTTCCGATGACTGCAATGCTGAACAGGGCAGTGTTGTCTTGCGCACACCGGCCCGTGCGGCATCTGTCTTACGAGCAGGCCACAAACCCGCCGAAAATCATATGATTCTCGGCGGGTTTTCAAACATGCTTGTAAGACAAAAGACGTGCGACCATACAGTAGAAACGGTTGCATGCCTTCCATACACCTGCCGATTATCAGACGATCGCGGGATTTCCCACAATTATCGTACGATATAATCAGCAGGTGTATGGGCACCTTTAGACAGGAAGTGTGTTACTGCCCAGATGACCACAGCAAAATAAAGGAATACAGGCCTAAACAAATCTAATGTAGCCACCACATCTAAGAACTGGAAGCTGTTAATATATGAATTAGACATGTGCATTCGGATTCGGACGAACCTGCAAATCAACGAAAATCAGTTGATTCAGTGGATCGTCCAAATCCGAAATAACAAATTTAATATATGCCGGAATATACTAAAATGATATTCAGGCATACATTAATTTGTACATGCCGGACGTCACATGCCGGTGACGTCACACACCGAACGAGCGCCGAACAAGAGTACATCTAGGTATATACCAAGATGGTGGCGCTCAAATATGAGGGTGCCGCCATCTCGGCGTATACCAAGATCTACTCCAAAACAGCAGCGTAGGGCAGAACGCACCGGCGGCCGGTATGGACACCGCTCGTTCTACGTTTTCAGTGTGTGGTTTCAGATTCGGAGGCTTGTTGCCTCCGATTTCGAAACAACATATATTTTTTCATTTGATGAAACGAATGAAAGCGTTTATCATTTTCATTTGTTTCGTCTGAAAACAAGTTTTTTTTTGTCTTGCCCATGCCTAATATGAATGTTTTGTTTTTAAACTAAAAAAAAGTTTTTACCCTTAAACTAAACACTTGTAGCCTAACTTCAGTTGATTTTACTTAAACTGAATAGAGCAAGGAAGAGTTACAAAGTATGCAAGGTTTTATTTCTTTGACCTCAGAAAAAAAATATTGAATCACTTCATATCCCTGTGTAGCCCACCCAAGATGCATGGAGCAGTTTTCAGTGGAACAAGAAGGCACAAACAGCACAGTGGCCTCTCACACACCAAAGATATGCTGGTACGTTAAAGGGAAAAGTGGGACAGGAATGAGAGGAGGGTGGAATAATGAAGGATTGAAGCTCTTATTAAAGCGCAGAAATATTTTTGCAAAGTTGAAGTTAAAGTTAATGACCAGTGAGAACAAATATTCTTTAACTATACTGGGACTGCATTATACTACCAGACTTAAATGGCCTGATATTACAACGATGTTGTGTTGATGGTGGCATTTGCTTAGAGTTGAATCTTCATTTATTTGCATTGGCAATGCTGACCCATTCTTTTGCTAAAGTATATCTTAACCGCCTCTTGGCTGGCCGTTATAAATAAATGGCCGGCCAGGAGCTTCCTGGATGCCTGTTGGCCCTGCCCACTCACGCGCATCAGGATCTCTGCTTTATCAGCTTCTTTGGGGGTCCCTAGGTGACATTCTCATGTCTCCATAAAGAGGACCTGCCACATCTCTTTGCTATCACATAGGGGGGTTTCTTAGCCCCCTATGTGATAACAATAACGTTAAGTGGAAAAAAAATTAAAGTTGCAATAAAAGAAATTCACACATGAAAAAGAATTTTTAAAAAACACAAAAATGTTTTAAAGTCCCCACCCATACATACATGCAAACATGCGTCGGGTGCACATATGTGCGAAAATGACGATTGCGTCCATTATGCCTCACGTGTTACATATCACCGCGAACGTTGCAGTGAGAGCAATAATTCTAGGGCCATCAATCACTGATAACTCTAAATTGATGAGCAGCAGTAAAAGCTTTTAAAACGTTGCCTATGGTCAATTGTGGGGATGGTAGTTTTTTTGCGATTTTGCCGGCGCGCTCAATTTTAAGGCTTGACATGTTTGGTGTCTATGTACCTGACGTGACCCAT